CCAGACTGGTAGATTACTGGGGAAATTCCCTTGCATTGGATTCCAGGTAGAGGATGAGCTGCTAACTAAGAGCCCAATGATCTAGCCAGTTTTTGACCCATCTAGTTGGCCAAGTTGTAGACTGTAACATTCTTGTAACTGTAACCTTGGAAACAGTGATGCTGTGGGAGACTGTTAAGGTCTTGCTAGTATCTACTGCTTTGTAATTCGTAGGTGCTGTCATAAAAGACAGGTTGATCAAGTGTGATACTGCTGATAAATTCAGTTTGTTCTCAGCCACTTTCTCATGTTGAGAAATAGCTTTCAGGAGACCTAGCTCCATGACTTACTGGAATTAAAGTGAAGTTAACCACTTGTAGTTCTCCTAAGGGTCTGGAAAATATGTCTTATGAGGAGCGACTGAGGGAACTGGGCTTGTTTAGCCTGGAGAAGAGGAGGCTGAGAGGAGACCTGATCACTGCCTACAACTACCTGAAAGGAGGTTGTGGAGAAGTGGGTGTTGGTCTCTTCTCCCTAATGACAGATGATCGGACGAGGGGGAATGGACTCAAGCTGCGCCAGGGGAGGTTTAGATTGGACGTAAGGAAGAAGTTCTTCACCGAGAGGGTTATCACACACTGGAACAGGCTGCCCAGGGAGGTGGTGGAGTCACTGTCCCTGGATGTGTTTAAGAGACGGGTGGATGGGGTGCTGAAAGATATGGTTTAGTGGTGGACAGATACGGTTGGACTGGATGATCTCTAAGGTCTTTTCCAACCTAGTGATTCTATGATTCTATGATTCTAATTTTTTCATGCTTTTGTCAAAGATGAGCACAATATTTGTGTTCCTCTAGTCACTGGGGATCTCTGCTGACCTCCAAAGCCTTTCAGAGATGACGAAGCATTCTTGCAATGACATAAGCTGCCTCTGTTAGCATCCCACCTGGCCTTACTGACTTGTATGGGTTGATTTCTCAAGACATCCTTGATTCCATCTTTTTCTGCCACTTGTAGTTCCTCTTAAGCTCATCTAATGAGTGTGTTGAGAAGTTGTCCCCACCACCCATCTGAAACCTCCCAGCTTGCTTGTAGTTTTCTGTGTTTCTTTTCCAACAAATGTCAGGGAGGTTAGCTTCCTGTTGGGGGAAAAAAACCCCAAACCCAAAACAACAACAGCAACAAGAAAACCACCCAAAAACCCAAACAATGGACACCTCTACTCCAAAATAACAACAAAACCAACCCCCAAACCACTACCGCACCAAAACCCCCTCTTCCTTCCAAACAGTCCACAGCCCAAAAAACCCCAAACCAAAACCATACAAACACTCAAGTCTAAGTCTTGGTGACTTTGAGTTTTTTTAGAGAAGAATTTGTCTATGTTGTAAGCTTGAGCAGGTGAACTGTTAACACGTTTGCACTGCAACATTATCCTTGCTGGTCTTTCAGCCCGTAGCTCCAAGCCCAGCCTGGATCAAGGCATCCCATGTGATAGGTATTCCTGGAGCTGGGGCTGTGGAGTCACCACATGCACTGCACTGTGCCATGCTCTTAGCTGGGTTCCAGCTTACCTGCTCTGTGGCAGTGTGTGTCTCCAGGTGGCTGACCTGGGGCTCAGCAGGCAGCTGTGGGCCCCTTTTTTCTCCTGAACCAATCTCTTAATCTACAACTTGGGAAACAGCTAGCAGAAGCTAATGGAAGTACCTAAAACCAGCAAATCTGTGTAGAAGGGGGGAAAAAAAGGCAGCAAGCTGCCACTTTAGTTACTGAGAGCATAAGAAAAACTTAACAAAATCTTGCCTGAATAAATAGAATCATAGGATTGTTTAGATCTGAAAAGACCCTTAAGATCATGAAGTCCAACTGTTAACACTGCTAATACTGCCATTACACCATGTCCCTAAGCAACTTGTCTGCGTGTTTCTCTGGAGGTAGTGACTCCACTACTTCCCTGGGCAGCCTGTTCTAATGTCTGACAACCCTTTTGGTGAAGAAATCTTTCCTAATATCCAATCTAAACCTCCCCTGGTGCAACTTGAGCCTGTTTCCTTTTGTCCTGTCACTTGGGAAAAGAGACCAACCCCCACCTCCCTACAACCTCCTTTCAAGTAGTTGTGGAGAGCAGTCGGGTCTCCCCTCAGCCTCCTCCAGGCTAAACACCCCCAGTTCCATCAGCTGCTCCAGACCCTAATAAATAGCTGACAGCCAAAATGCCAACTTGCTGCCCCCAAACCCTGTCAAAACTACCTCTACCACAAACTTTTCCTTATGAGAAACTACTAGAAGTATCTCCTGCCCCCTTAGCTCCGCCTGCTTGCTGTGCTCCTTGCATGTTGGCTGAGCTCGTGTCCCTGTAGCGTGGGGTGCTCAGTGGTGCCTCACGGGTGCTCTATCCTCCCTGCCCCTCGGTCTAGTGCAGGTGGCTGGCACTGGAAGACTGCAGAGAGGTCTGTGTTATTAGGCAGTTAGTGTTTGGAGTGTGGGTCTGTTCAGAGCCCCTGCTCAGGAATCCTCTGACTGGAGTGCCTCTACTTTGATTCATAGCCTGGCGGCATCAGCGATGGTCTTTGTGCAGGTGAAGGACATCAGCCTGAATGATTGTGTCTTGTCAAATACTGGGGCTTGGTTAGGCTGCAGCCAGTAAGTTGTTTGTATGGTAGGTTGTACCTGGGCCCAGGTGGGTCAGTAAGCTCGGGTTTCCTTGCCCCAAATTCTCCTGTGCTTTTCTTCTGGGGTTAGTGTGGGCAGGAGAGTTTTGGACTTGGTTGCACGTATCTGTGCAGTTGTGGTGCGTGCGGAGCATCTTCCTTGCACTGAGGTTGCTGCTTGGTGAAAGGGTAACGATCCAAATACAAGTTGTCTTCTAGTCTAAACAGCTTTTTAAAAATTTTTAAATATTCATCAAGAGATCCCCATCTCCATTTGGTTGGTATGGTCCCTTTAAGGAAGGTGAAGTGTGTTTATGGTAATTTTTATCACTGAAGGATGCAAACAAGGTTAGAGTACCTGACTGAGACAGTCATTCCTGTTACATATAATTTAAAAAGACTTATGTATATATGGATTAGGTAATTAGGCACCTGACTTTAAAAAAAAAAAAAGTATTGCAGTTTAGATTTCTAATTAGCACATACTTCAATGAAGAAAATGGTCAATTGTGCATAAAACTGTGGGACAGAATGTTTACAAAAGGAAACAGCCTTTGATGTAGCAGTTAAAATAGCTCTAAATCTGTTCCATAGAATCATAGAATGGTTTGGGTTGGAAGGGACCTTAAAGACCATTTAGTTCCAACCCCCCTGCCATGGGCAGGGACACCTTCCACTAGACCAGGTTGCTCAAAGCCTCATCCAGCCTGGCCTTGAACACTTCCAGGGATGGGGCATCCACAGCTTCTCTGGGCAACCTGTTCCAGTAAGCTCAAACACTGTCATGGCTGCTTGTTACCTCACTTTGGTTTTTTGGACAGATCAGGTACTATACAAAATAACAAATTTTGATTTCCCTTTTTCTTTTTATTAAGTACTTCAATATATTGAAGTTAAATATTAATTTAGGAAAGGTGGTACTTTGAGTATAATATCAAAAATGTACCACTTATTAGTCCACAGTCTTGAAAAAAGGTGAAGAAGCACCCTTAAATACACACATATCTGTACTGTAAATGTACCTGCCTCAGGGTTATGTTGTCCAGGTTTTGTTCGTGGAATTGAATTAGATTGAAGAGATGGAAAGCTCGGAGACTTCAACTGAGTTGTGCCATAGCTCTTATTCCCCACACAAATATCAGGGCCTCTGCATTTCACCCCAGTCTTTCCATGTGCATCAAGGTAAGTGGGACTAATATGCCAGTTCAAGAGCCTGTAGGAAACTTCCCTTGAGCCTTTGGTGTTATGGCACAGTTCACCCTGAGAAAGCTGTACATAAAGTTGTTTGTCAGCAGTTGTGCCCCATAGGAGTAATCTTTCTGCCATGGAAAATAAGGTCAATAAATACAGTATCTTACAATCTTTATTTGTTTGTGTACTTCTCTCTATATAATATACATATATTTTATAAATATAAAACAGAGAAGTATATTGAATGTGCGGTATAACACTCAATTATACTGTAATGCAGGGAAAAGCTCATAGTACACCTCTTGTGCTATACTGGAGTTTTTCCCTGCATTAAAGTGTATTTCATGTGAAACCACGACAGCTCTATGAAGTGTAGTATTGCATCCTCAAATGGTGTGTTCAGTGATGGAAATTACAAGGTCTGCAGTATTTTATCTGCAGTTCTTTCATCTAATTAATGTGCAACTAACCTTTGGGAGGGGACTTTTTACAAGGGCCTGTAGTGACAGGACAAGGGGTAATGGGTTTAAATTGAAAGTGGGGAGGGTTAGATTGGATATCAGGAAGAAATTCTTCACAGAGAGGGTAGTGAGGCACTGGAACAGGTTGCCCAGAGAAGCTGTGGATGCCCCATCCCTGGAAGTGTTCAAGGCCAGGCTGGATGAGGCTTTGAGCAACCTGGTCTAGTGGAAGGTGTCCCTGCCCATGGCAGGGGGGTTGGAACTCGATGCTCTTTAAAGTCCCTTCCAGCCCTGATGATTCTATGATTCTATAACCTCTGCTCTTCTTGAGTAGTAAGAGGGCTGTGTACCTTGAATAGCCCTGAGCTTCACCTTTTCTTCTGTTTTACAAATGCTTTGTAATTACTGGTTTTAAAAAATTTGATTGCCTTATTACTTTTGCAGAATAAAGTGCTAACAAACAAAATTTGTACAAATAATTGCTGTAAATGCTCAGACTTTTTAAACACACTGAAATTCTTTGTACTTTGAGAATATAATTTTTTTGTCCTAAGTAAAAAAGAAGGGATATTAAGTAAATAGTCAAACAAATAGTAAAACTTGGGTTTTGGCTGTGTGTTGCCCAGTGACTGGAATGAGTAAGTGTTCCTTGTTGTGTGCTTCAGAACTTGACTTAACTTTTTAAATACAGATTATTCTTTTTGTTTTCATTATTTAAGGGAAGGTTTTAGGTTTTCATCTCAAGAAGCTGCTTCAAGTTTTGGTGATGATCGCTTGCTGATAGAAAAGTTCATTGATAACCCTCGTCATATAGAAATCCAGGTTTGTATTAGTATTATTGCTATTATTGTTAATTCTTCTTTATTTATTTAATAAGGTTTTAACTCATAAAATAATCCAAGTTCAAAACATCTTGAATGCTCCACTAAAAAGGCCTAGAATCTTGTGTTTTCCTGTGCCTTGGGCCGCTGCTCAAACTGCATGGCTATCATGCACAATACAGCCATCCTGTTTTTATTCTCTAGCCT